CAACGCGGCGCTCCGAAGATGTTGGACCAACTTTCAGACTCCAGGATGGAGAGGAGCGGGGGGACTGGAGGCAATGACACTTCGGGGCTGGGAGCGGAGTCTGGACTTGGGTGATCCTTCAAAAGGGGGCCAGGGAGTGAGCTGGAGGCGCTCTCAGTAGTTAGGGTTAGACACTCCACGTTCTGCCATCGTGATTTAAGATGCTATCTCCCCCGTTGGGCTCTGAAGTAGGGGGACGAGCATCCGTAGCCTGGAGGTTTCAGGGGACGCATTTGCAATCTTTACATTTCTCCTGCCCACAGCTCTGGGGGACTGACTTAAAAAAAAATGATTGGAGCGGTTGGAGAGGGGGCAGATACTGAGTTTTCTTAGGTGGCTGGGGGGGACGTGGTTTCAGAAACTTTGCCCAAACTTGGAAATGTGGGTGCTGAAATTTTAGAGGGAAGTCGCTTTCTACCTAGTGGATGCTACTTCCAACCCCTGCCCCTGACAGGCTTCCCACAAATAGATACATAGAAATTTTAAAGGACTCAAACTCCCAATGTGGAGCGTTTGACACACATTTTACAATGTGTTGGGTTTTTTTCTTCTTTGCCTCCGTTCCTTTGACTTAACTTTCTGTAGAACAGTGAGGAACCCACAACTGATTCCAATTCTGCGAGGAATTAAGAGCACATTTCTAAAGTGTGCCTTCTAACATTCCATTTCTTTATTTCCATTCGTTGGGGGGCAGAGTTTCTTTCCAATAATTAGAGCTCATTAATAACACCTTGCGGCCCGATTATTGGAAAAGCCATTGGGGGTTTCGGGAGAGCTTTTCCTAACCCGAACCCCATCCGTAACCAGGGGGCTCGGGAGGAGGGAGAGAAAGTGCTCGCTAAGATTTCTTTGTAGGTGTGAGATACGTCCCAGTAGCTGTGAAATCGTGGGCAGCGGCTCTTTTGACCCACTCAACAACTTCACCTGCTTCCAGGTTCCTCTTTAGAGTGGGTTGAGAATGGGCCCTCTGGGCACTGCCTCTCCCCGTCTCCACGGCGGCCCGCCTGGCACGACGAGGCGCTGCCTAGCTGCTGGAGACCGGGGCGCCTGGGGACGCAGCCCTCGCGGATTTCGAAAGATCGCGGTGGCCGCAGGGCGTCCTCCCAAGCTAGCCGATGGCAAGCCGGTCGTCGGGCGGGCGGCTCCCGGAGGCCGCGCGGGGCAGCTCCCAGCTGGGCCCGCTTGCTTTTTTTTGCTTTCATTTTTCACAAATGCCTTTTGCTTCGTCTCTTCCTGCATGTGGCTGTCTCTGTCTCTCAAGTTCTCCCACTTTCTGAACCCCTGTCACAAATAATACCCAGACCGCCTACATGAAACCAACATGTAAAAACACCCGTCGCATCCTGTTTTTGTCAGGTTCTTTAATCGGCTTTTCGAGTCGCTGCAGGTTATGGAATGGGACGAATAAAAGTAAACAGTCTAGTAAAAGTCAATGCAAGCCACACGTGTTGTGTCTGGGTCATGGGGAACTGACATTGATAGGGCGCGGGCGCTCAGGCTTCTCGCCCTCGCTCTCCCTCCCCCTCGCCCACCTCCCACTACTCCTCGCTACTGACCCCCCCACCCCTTCTTCCCGACCCCCACCCGCTCCGATTTATTTTCTGCTCTCCCACCCCCCACCCCCACCCCGCTCTCTCGCACGCTCTCGCTCATGCCTTCCTCCACACTCGCCCACTCCCCATCCCTCTCAGTCTCATTCCCTCCTGCCCTCGCTGCCTCCTTCCCCCTCCCCCGCCGTGTCCTCACCCACGTCCCCACCCCTGTCTCTGTGCAGCTGGGAATTGCTGGCTCCGCCAGGCGAAAAACGGCCGCTGCCAAGTCCTGTATAAGACGGAACTGAGCAAGGAGGAGTGCTGCAGCACCGGCCGCTTGAGCACCTCGTGGACCGAGGAGGACGTGAATGACAACACGCTCTTCAAGTGGATGATTTTCAACGGGGGCGCTCCCAACTGCATCCCGTGTAAAGGTGGGACTCTTCCTCCCCAACCTGAGGCCCTCAGTAGAGGGCGTCCTGCCCTGTTTCCTCACTGTTTGGCTCTAAGGGGTGGAACTGGGCAAGCTTTGTTTGTGAGGTCCCCCCTTCACCTCTCCGCCGCCCCACCCCCACAAGCCCCGGAAAGCCATTCGGGTGGAACCTGCTCTATTAGATGCTGCAGGCAAAATAGAGTTTACCCAGGTCCCGGACCCTTCAGCCAAGTGGGAGGAAGCTGGCCCACGGTCGCATGGAGAGCTGTGGTGACCTGGGCTCAGCCTCCTGTTGCCGAGTCTTCCTCCCCTCCCAGCTTCTCCTGGGAGAGCCAGGGCTCCCACGTGCTAACGCAAGTCAGCGAGCCCTGCTGGCTGACCTGCACACCGCCTGGCCCTGGTTCTAATCCACGCCTCTTTCCAACCGTAGAAACGTGTGAAAATGTGGACTGTGGACCTGGGAAAAAATGCCGAATGAACAAGAAGAACAAACCCCGCTGCGTCTGCGCCCCGGACTGCTCCAACATCACCTGGAAGGGCCCCGTCTGTGGGCTGGACGGGAAAACCTACCGCAGCGAATGTGCGCTCCTCAAGGCCAGATGTAAAGAGCAGCCGGAACTGGAAGTCCAGTACCAAGGCAAATGTAAAAGTAAGTCCTAGCAGCTTGAGGCAACCCGCCCACGCCAGCACTGACCTCAAGTAGATCCCTCGAACCCCAGCGGTAAGGAATAAGCGTATTAAGGCCTTCATTATCATCAGAGGAATATTGATTCCAAATACAGGGACCAAGTGCTGAATTCTTAAAATTCTTGAAGAAAGGAGAAGGGCCCAACCCAGAGGGGTGGAATCACAATCACAGGGTTCCCAAAGAAACTTGTCAAAGCTGGATGCTCTGAGATCATGACTTTCACGACCATATTAGATGTTCACTCCCTGTGGACCAGGGGGGGGAAATAATAACCTCACTGCCATTGAGTTCATTCGGACTCAAAGTGACCCTATAGGACAGAGCAGAATGATCCCTGTGAGTTTATGGTATGGAAAATCCTATCATTCTCCCCTGGAGGGGCTGTTAGTTTTGAACTGCTGACCTTGTGGTTAGCAGCCCAATGCGTAACCACCGGAAGACATCTATTAATGTGTTGTCTGTCTTTTTATTTTTCCTACCAGAGACCTGTCGGGATGTTTCCTGTCCAGGCAGCTCCACGTGTGTGGTGGACCAGACTAATAACGCCTACTGTGTGACGTGCAATCGCATTTGCCCAGAGCCCACCTCCTCTGAACAGTATATTTGTGGGAATGATGGTGTGACCTACTCCAGCGCCTGTCACCTGAGGAAGGCTACCTGCCTGCTGGGCAGATCGATTGGATTAGCCTACGAGGGAAAGTGTATCAGTAGGTATTCTGGATTGAGGAAGGAAAAGAGAGGCGCCAGCCTTAGGGCTGGTTCTTGTGTTATAGCTGCAGGGCTGGCCAATCAATAAAAGCCAGTTTGCCTCCCTAAACACATGGTCTCACCAGAGGGAGGAACACTCTCCAGTTTGAATAAATTGCCTTGGCCACACCAGTGCTAGTGGAAACCACTGTCTTCTGAAAGTGCTGGCATTTATATGTGCGTTCAGATGCCAGCAAGAAGCAGAAAACTATTTTCCATCTCAAAGACTTAGAATCCACTCCATTTTTTTGTTTGTTTTTTGTTTTCTTTCTCTTTTTGAATTTTTTTAAGGGTTAGACTGCTAAAAGGCGGGGGTGGGGTGGGGGATTCCTTCACAGTTCCTGGAATCTGCTATCAGATTCCAATAATTGATAGAACATTTTCTTTTTCAAATCCCACTAGTGGGAAATAATCAGATACATGTTTAACTCAAACATAGTGTGACATCCTGAACCCCAAATTACTCTATCCGTGTTCTCATGTCCTTTGTAAGAAAGTGAGGGGTTTGGGTGTGTGTGGGGAGGTGAGTTTCAATTTATCTAGCTTTTTTCTTTGGGGGGGGGGGGCGCATGGGCTGGGCTAAGGTCTCTTTTGGGTATTTGGAAGGACTCCGAGATACCCGATATGTTTACTGGTGGAGGAGTAGAGTGGAGAAAGGGAGGCCTTAAGAAGCCACTTTGACTCATCATAGATACATTATATCCTAGAAGCAAAGTCCTGTGAAGATATCCGGTGCGCTGGTGGAAAAAAATGTTTATGGGACTTCAAAGTGGGCCGTGGCCGGTGTTCTCTCTGTGACGAGCTGTGCCCGGAGAGTAAGTCTGACGAGCCTGTCTGTGCCAGTGACAATGCCACGTATGCCAGCGAGTGTGCCATGAAGGAGGCGGCCTGCTCCTCAGGTGTGCTGCTGGAAGTTAAGCACTCCGGCTCTTGCAACTGTAAGTGCGATTTTTAACCTTGCTGCAATTTAAGGCTTTCCCAGGCAAGCCATTAGGGAATGGAGACTTACAAAGCACGCAAACCTCCTACATAAGCCCGTGTCTGTCTAAGTTAGGTAGCTGCTCAGTTGCACCAGCAATCCAGAGATCCACCGAAAAATTCCCTGGAATGTTTCCTGGCTTGTAGGACTAGTTCAGTGATCAGCAGCGGGGTTGCCACTAAAAACCTATTATTGCCAGTAGTTTGTCCTAATTTCTTTTCGCTTCAGTAATATGCTTTGCTTTTTTGCTTGAGTAACACTTGAATCTAAACTAACCGCTTCCAAAGTCTTCGTCGTCATCATCATCGCTGTTGTTGTTGTTTTTTCTTTCTTTTCTAAAGGCGGCTTTATATTATCACACATGGGCTGCTGCTTCTCGCAGTTGCCACTACTAACTCTGAATTAAGGACCCAAAGCAGTTATGACCTAGAACACAAGAGCGCTTTTTATCTGATTTCAGGAATCTGCCCGTAAAACCTGAGCCATTGATTCTTCAGAACTTTCTGCAGTTTTTGACTTCATAGATTATGGTGGTTGTTTTTTGGTTTTTGTTTTTTAATTTTTAAAAGTATTGCATAACAGCAGATGCCAAAAAAAAAAAAAAAGCATCTCACTGCAAGTCACATAAAAATGCAACGCTGTAATATGGCTGTATCAGAGGGCTTTGAAAACATACACTGAGCTGCTTCTGCGCTGTTGTTGTCCGTATTTAAACAACAGCTCCCCCTGTATTCCCCCATCTAGCCATTTCAGAAGACACCGAGGAAGAGGAGGAAGATGAAGACCAGGACTACAGCTTTCCTATATCTTCCATTCTAGAGTGGTAAACCCTCCACCAATGTTCAGTGTTGATAGAGCCTTCAGGCACAAACAAACAAACAAACAAAAACAAACCAACAACAAAAAAGAAGAAAATATATTGTCCATACTGTAAATAAGTGTACGCTTATTTATTGGGGGGAAGACGATACCTAAAGGACCTTTGCCCTGAAGCTCTCTCCCAGGCCACCTTGTTACTCATTGGACACGGAGAGGCGGTCATTGTGAGGTCTACTGGATTTGAGGCCTGTAGTTGAGACGTGTAGACATTTATTTATACTGTGTCATGTTTTATAATTTATACATAAAATGTCTGGTTGACTGTACACCTTGTTTTAGAAGAAATTTATTCGTGAAAGGAAGAGCAGTTATTTATTGTGAGGTCTCTTGCCTGTAAAGTAAAAGCTTTTTTTTTTCCTTGTAAACTATTTAAAATCCATTCCTTACTATTCACTCACTCATCTGTCCCCCTCATTTCACTGTTGTTAGACTTTTCCACTTTAACAAACTTGCATGTCAGTTGCTGTCATGTTTATTTATTGGATTCTCTGCTGCCTGTTCTGTACATACATGGTTACATGATCCCTCGGGTTTTGTTTACAAGGAATCTTGACTGACCAAAAGGCATTATAACTGACTCAAACCCAAGCTATAGTGGATGCAGCTTTAAGGAAACTCCTAGTTCAGTTCTCTTCTGAGGAAGACCTTTGTGAGCGAGGATGGATGATGGCAGTGTTAGAATTCTAATGTGCTTTTCAGATGTTACAGCTCCACAGAAATTGAGTGATGTGGGTGTCTGGAGACGGCAGAAAGAAAGCATCATTCTCAAAGTCAAACTTGACTAGGCGTTTCCTGTAAAAGCTAGTCTGCTGTACCTTTTTAATTAGTTCTTTTTCAATCCACGTGTCACTAAAAGTTACATCAAAGCTTTATCAGTTCAAGTTTCTTGCTTTTCATAATACTTTTTTCTGATGCAATTTTATATTTTCAAACATGGCAAGTTAAATATAAATTCATTTAAATATATAGTTTTGTACTTTTCTACCATGTAAATGTGCAATGTATATAAAAGTTATAATGTGTATTTGTAAATAAATGATGAGTGAAAAAATAAAAAAAATTTTAAAAGCCAATGGCCTCTACTCTCGATGATGTGAAAACCAATTGTTCAGGTTTTGAAACAAACAACAGAACCACCCTGATATGTTCATTGAGAAAGACTGCAGTGACATTAAGTGGTCAGGGTGGTAGAAGTTCCAACCAAATTGAGGTTAACTATGAATCTTAGAAAGATCTAGGACTCTTAAGGTCCAGCTGGGAGTGCCTTTTAGGAGGGATAGCTTAAATGTCAGTAAGCACAGAAGGAAGCAGACTGTGGCCATGGCTTCCACCCTACAAACCCTTTAAAAACACTACCCATTTTCGCTGGGGTCCTTTTATCCTATTTTCTGAATGCAGTGAATCCAAACCCATCTACTGCCATAGAGTTGTTTCTGACTCATAAGGACCTAGTACAGAGTACAACTGTTCCTTTGGGATTGTGCGACTTGAATCATGGGAAGTCCTTCCTTCCACCAGCCTTGTTAGCACCCAACATTTAATTCACTACACAGCCAGGGTCCCTCAAGGAAATCTCTCACTGCCCTATCCATCCTATAGGACAGAGTAGAACTGCCTCTGAGTCTTGGGGCTTTAAAAAAAAACAGCTCATCACAAGGAAAAATGAAAACTGGCAAGTGACCTTTACAAAGGACATTCTAGAAAGCAGAATATTTGACCATAGATATATACTTTACTATGGTGACGTTCTGGGACTGGGTGAGGTGGGTGTGGGGCTGGGTGAATTTCTACAATGGTGTCCATGTTGATGACATTCCCATGAGGTCGATTAATCCAGAGATTGTAAATATTTTGCCATTTTCATGGGGTCAAATCACAAGATTAGAGTCTCCCAGTTGCAATTTGAGGCAATCGCTACCCCCTGTATGACACTAGCTCACTAACACACATTTCCAATTTATTGTGTGCTACATACTCAAAAGCCTAAGTATTTTTAAAATAACAAGTGAGGACCAGGGCTGTAGAAGTTAAAAAGCAATAAGCAGCCCATACTGCCAACACTTTGAAAATCAACAACCCAGTTCTTTTTCAAAAGTGTCTCCCTTTTGTGAAAACCCTCTCATATGGGTCATTATTAAAAATGTTTTATCAGAAAACATTGACTCTCAATTGAGCTCAGCAAATAAAAAGCTTGGTGGGGAGGAGAAGTCTCTTTAGTAAGCGTCATTTAATGATTAGGACCCTGAAAGGTTTGGTTACCCTATCAGCCAGAGAGAGAGGGGAAAGGGCAGTACGGAACGGAAAGCAGGCTACCATTAACCACAGAAAACGAGTCTCCGCTCTGCCAGTGCAGAGGAGCTACCGCTCGCCACTGGGGATAGGCTCTGAAAAGGGAAGAGCTGGGCAGATAGGGTTTCACAGCCCTTCCTGGAATTGATTTGTTATTTGTCCCAGGGTATGAGAGACGCTTTAAAGCTGCCATTGACAATCAGAGTGAAATCCTCCAATGCAGGGGCCACCAACGTGTGTCTTGGCAAAGAGGAGTGATAAAACCCACAGCTTGCCTTTTAAACGTCCAAATTATTTTACAACTCTTTCATATTTGTTAGCAATTGATCATTCCTTTTTAAAAATCAGACAGTATCTCATTTTCCTTTTTGGAGTTTTCTGTTTTTCCAGTAATACTTCATTAGGCTTATTAGTACCTCCCCCACCCCACCCCCGGAAAAAAAAGTCTCTTTTATAATTAAAATGAAGAGTAATATCATTAGGCTATTGTTATTTCAACTATGACCCAAGCAAGCTTAATTCACTTATGTGTATAACATACTTAATAGAAGCAGTTGTTAGTCGCTATTGTTAATTGGTATAGAGTACATCCTAATCATCAGGAATTGCAAAATAAAGCAACTCGGTGGAAAATTCTATCAGAAGTCTAATTTTCATCAGATGTGTACCAAGGTTACACTGTTTAGTATAGGGACTAGCTCCTGGAGTATGGCAAAAAATAATTCTCAAACTAGACAGCAAAATGCACTACCTGACACTAGACTGGATCTTGTACCCAAGGGGAAATATAAGTAGTGTTATTGAGACAAATGACAAAACGAGAATAATGTCCATGGATTAAAATATTGTGTCTGTGCTAAATATATTGAAGGGTTGACAGGAAAGAGCCAATATTTGTCTAGTTTATCTTCAAATCATCTAGAAAGAAAAATATTATCTCCTTCAATATGTTTTTTACCATTGGCGGACTACAACCAGAATGCTCCTTAGAAACAAGGATAGCCAGACTATGTGCTTTAAGCATGTTATCAAGAGAGTCCAGAAAAACTCCAAACCAAACTCACTGCCATCAAGTCGGTGCTGACTCATAGCGACCCTGTAGGACAGGATAGAACAGCTCCTGTGAACTTTGAAAACTAAATCGTTATGGGAGTACAAGGCCCCATCTTTCTCCTGAGGAGTAGCTGGCGGTTTAGAACTGCTGACCTCTTGGATCGTAACCACTAAACCACCAGGGTTCCTTCAAGAGAGACCAGTCTCGGGAAAAAGGACACTAGGCTTGTTAAGACAGGAAGCCCCACAGCAAGATGGATTGGCACAGTGGCTACAACAATGGGCTCACACATAACAATCGTTGTGATGATGGTGTAGGGTCAGGCAGTGTTGCACTCTATTGTACTTAGGGTTGCGATGATGGCACCTAACAACAAATTAGAAAGAAACCCATTCAACCACCAAAATTTCCAAAGCCATAAAATGCCACATCTGGCAAAATCCCTGGTAGTAAAATAAAATTAGTCTTCTCTTTCTTGGAAGAAGTACAACCAGAAGGGTCCTTACAAGCAAAGATGGTGAGACCTTGTCTCCTGTACTTTGGACATGTTGTCGGGAGAGACCAGTCCCTGGAGAAGGCCATCATGCTTGGTAAAGGAGAGGAGCAGCGAAAAAGAGGAAGGCCCTCAACAAGAGGGATTGATACTATGACTGCCACAACCTGAGAACAATTGTGAGGATGGGACGGGACCAGGCAGTTCTTAATTCTATCATCCATAGGGCAGCTAGGAGTTAGCGCCACCTCAAGAGCACCTCGCAACATCAATTTGAATACAACTTCCTCTAAGAAGGCTCTAGATTCCTAAGGCTATTCATCAGATAAACTATTTCCAAAATATCAAAATGTCCATGCAAATTGTATAATCATCAGCTATAAAAAGCTGCAACTATCATTCAATTAATGGATTCCTTTAATTAAACGCAGTTTACAATGTCAGGGTCCTCAAACTGACGCATTTCTATTCTCCCCATGACATTTTCCATTCAGATCAGCACACAATCCTTCTTCGGCCAAAAATTGTCATGTAAATAGACTCCAGGCATGCCTGTCCTACATATTCACCAGACCTGCCCAGACATGTCTCAATCCCTGCTTCTATTTCGATGGACCCCCGCCCCGCCGCAAGGAGTACTTGAAGGTCCCTGGGGTTTGCCACCCTTGGACTTCAGAGATCTTGGCTGGTCCCATCGATATTCCTGAGGTTGAGTCCTTCGGACACTTAAAAACATATTCTCTGGATCAGATCAAGTGTAGTGCTGGCAGAGCTGTAATTTGTCATTTTTCTATTTTAAGATTATGGCCAGGGAACCAACTGGTCATGCGAGGAGCTAGACATACTACCACCCAAAATCACTTGCATTCATTCCCCAAGGACTTCCATCTCAAGAGGAAAAGCAGTATAAATCTCTCTCAAGAACTAGAGGCCCAAGTGTGAGAGGAGGTTACAATTCTGAGGCAGAAGAGGGGGTTGCTCCAGCAATTTCAGTTCTAAGAAAATAGCTTGGTAGGATTTTTTCTGTTCTAGCTAGCATCAAGGAAATTGATAGGGTGACTTCATGATCGCAGCCATAAATAGTGAAAGATGAGGGTGAAGGTTAGATTCTAGTTCCTCTAGATTGCTGTGGTGACAGCTCAGTGACAGCAGGTAACAGAGTGATTGGCATACTCAAAAGTCCAGTGATACCTGGAGCTTCTGAAGTAGTCGTCCACAAAATCTGTGTCCTAGGGAAAATCACCAAAATAAAGTCTTGAGTATTTAATTCCCTGGGCATGCGGCACCAGGATCTAATCAGTGGAGCTCCAAAATACATAGCACTGCCTTATTCAAGGTGCAGTTGTTAGGTAGCAAGATAGGGGTTGTTTTTCTCCAGGCGTGGGGTCCCCAACAGGAAGTTGGCAGCCCATAAAGGCTAAAGGGTCTGCGCCAATTCAGACCCGAGTCAGGTGGGGCGGTACACCTGGATGGGCCCAATCTAGACCAGGTGGGCTTACTTCAGCCAATAGGGTCCACCGGTACCGTCGACCACGCCTCCCAGCGGAAGGCCTCCAAAAGGCTCTAAGTGGCCTCAGGTCGCCACCTGGGTGTACAGTGCCATGAGGGTGCTTGTGTTCAGTGCCTGAACTTCTTCTGTCCTTCATAAAACCCGCTTGGATCACAAACTAGGCTTCCACGTGAATTCTTTCTCCCGCGAAGCCAAGGACGGGGTATTTCCCAGCGAGAAATCGAGCACAGTGACTGGCCAGCAACACCATTATTTCTTTAGAGTTTATTAGAAATGTGAGTCTTCAGATTCTACCCCAGCCTCCATCCACTCCAATGGGTCGATTCCCTCAGTGCCCTCGCTCGCGGTGACCCTATAGGACTGGGTAGAACAGCCCCTGTGAGATTCTGAGACTGTAACTATTTACAGGAGTAAGAAGCCCTATCTTTCTCCCTCAGAGCTCTTGGTGGTTTCAAACTGCCGACCTCCCAGATCACAGGGGGACTCATATCCACTCTTCCACCAGGGCACCTTCCAACTCAAAGCGATCTTAAAGAACTGTCCCAAAGTTTTTCAAGCCATCATTGCCAAATCTTCCTGCCCCAGAGGGGTTGATGGGTTAGAATGCCCCCTCCCCACACCTTTTGATTCGTAGTTGAGCACTTAACCTCTACTCTACTGGGGCTCCTGGCCCCAGAAACACTGGGTCAATTTCCCTGAGTTCAGAGCTCAGGAAT